GGAGCCGGCCGGACAGCGGGCCGCGCTGGCGGCGGCGATGGCGGCGCTCATGGAGATCCAGATGGACGAGGGCGGCGGCGTGGTGGTGTATCAGGACGACTACTGCTCCGGCTCGGTGATGTCGGAGCGTGTGTCGGGCCTGGCGGGCTCCATCTACCGCGAGTTCGAGCGCCTCATCCACTGCTACGACGAGGAGGTGGTCAAGGAGCTGATGCCGCTCGTGGTGAACGTGCTCGAGAACCTGGACTCGGTGCTCAGCGAGAACCAGGAGCACGAGGTGGAGCTGGAGCTGCTGCGCGAGGACAACGAGCAGCTGCTCACCCAGTACGAGCGCGAGAAGGCGCTGCGTAAGCAGGCCGAGGAGGTGCGTGGCCGCCCGCCCGCCCGGGACCCCGCCCCGCCGGCCCAGCCTGACCCCCCACCCCCTGCCATCCTCCCAACCCAGCCCAGCACCCAGAGGCCCCACTGCCCACCCCAGCCCGTTAGCCAAGGAACCCGATCCCCAACCCCCTTATCCTCCCAACCCCGCCCGTCTCCACACCTCCTCCAGGCTATCCAGACAGGGTCCTCAGCCTCCCCATCCTTGCCAGATCCCCAACACACCCCCCGCCCCAGCCCGGGGACTCCAACCACCCCCAACCACTCCACCTACCCCACCCCTTACCCCCTGCCAATCAGAGCCGTTCCCCAGCCCCACCCATCCTGGACCAGTCCCCAAGGCCCCAGCGCCTCTGCCTGGGAGACTAGACCACCTCCCCTCCTGGGCGGAACCCGAGCCCATCTCTCCCAGTCCAGAGCCCCCAGCCTAGAGCCCTGGTTCTGCACCGCCTAGGGCAGCTTGCAGCCAAAATGGCCCTGACCCTGGAGCCGGACTCCCTCTCCTCCTGACCTCTCTCCTCCTGCCCACTTCTCCTCCCGGATGCCAATTCCATGTGGTCTTGTGTGTTTTCCTTCAAACTGATTTTCTAGACCCCCATTAGTGCCTCTGCTCGCTGTGATTTTAAGCCCTTCCAGAAAGGTGAGCTCTGATTTTCTAGGGTGCTGCAGCCAGAATTGGTCTGTTGCTGTCAGACCCCTCCCTTGCCCCCAGTCCTGTACTGTGAAGGTCTGTGACATGTATGAATTGGGGGATTGGTATAAACTGACGCTGCAGTCAGGCTGCCCGGAAAGACGCCAGGTTCTGGAGGCGATTTCTTTGCCCTTTGGTTCCCTTGTCGGCCAGGTTGTTTGGCTGGTATAGAAAGCTGGTGTAGGAAGTCCACTCCGGCTTTGGAGGAGTTAAAAGTCAGATTTTGCTGTCTTTGGGTTTGCTAGAGAATGTTTCCGTAACCTGGGAACAGCTTGTTTGTGAGCCGGTTAGATGAAGGCGCATTGTGGGGAGTACCCCAGCTTCGTTCACTCACCATCAGATAGTTCAGCACCACCCACAGTCCAGATTGCCCTTTGTAGAAAACAGAAGCAGAGTGAAGTGCATTTGGGTGATGTGGGTTCTCGTCCCTGCCTCGGCACAGATTCTCCTGTGACCCAGGCCACGTCGCCTGCCTGCTCTGCGTTTTGATTTTCCATCAGCCAGATGAGTGGGTTGCCCTCGAGGCTCCCTGAGCCCTAAATTCTCTTATTCTAGGAGCTGAGTGATGCTCTTGATTTACGAGCAAAGTCTTACTAAATGAGTTCAGGTTTCTTTTCAGTTAACTTGGTTGAGCACACGCTTGACTTTAGTACGGAAATAAAAGATTGCTGTGGTGTTGGCTTTTTCTTAAGCCGGGGTAGTTTGTGTTCTGGTTGGGTTTAACATGTACTTATAAAAATGAACAGTATGTTGTTTCATGCACTCCTACTTAACAGTGGTTTGTTTTGCTTTGGGGTTTCCTATATGCATTAGGCTTTCTATTAATTGGGGGTGCCCAGGCCCCTCCAAACTGATTTAAAGCCCTCAATTTATGGCAGTGCAAGAGCTCGTGGAATTAGAGCCCACAGTGACTGCAGTCATTTTTCGGGGAGGACATTGGCCCCAAGCAGTAGAGGGACCCGACCAAGGTCACAGGCCCTGGAGGAGCTAGGCCAGGATGCGGAGCGGGCCCTGACTCCTGGCCGGGGTGGGGGTCAGAGGGCCACATGGGGCCTGGAGCCAGGGCTCTGTCTTCCACTTCTTGACTGCTCCTGAGCGCCGTTCGACTCCTGACTGAGGTCTTGGCGAGTTTCATTTCTCTCACCCTGTACCTGTGTGGTTAAAATACTGGGTGAGAAGGACCCAAAAGGAGGAAAATCAGAATGGATAACTTCAGGCTAAGAATAAACTTTACAGCTTAAAAACGAGCTGTGCAGAGAGGAGGTCCTGTTCCCTGCTCCACGCTATTCAAACACCCCCCAAGGCAGTGTGCTCCCCGCTCCAGCTCAGACTTGCTGCTGGACCCGGAGCCACTGGGTGTGCTGGTTCTCAGGAGAGATGGCCTCCAGGCCTGCCGCTGCCGAGAACTTTGTGAACACACAGCCACGAAGAAAGCCTGCTTGGCGAGCCGGCCTGAGTCCACGATTAGTAGTTCATAGTGTGTCCTTAGAAAGACCTCAGGTGACATCACAGCTGAAGAAAAGGGCCAGGCACTGTGAGCATTTTGGTGTGCTGGTCACTGATTGGTTTTCAGTTAGGTGGAAAAACCACTGTGGCATCGTGAGTCGGCTCTTTTCTAGGCAGGAAGCCTGATTATGTGTGTCGGATAACCCAGGAGCCGACCATCATGGGCTCAGGCGTGTCCTCAGTGCAGGATGCCTCCCGCAGGAGCTGTGCTGAGGAAGGCTTAGTCAGAGGGTAACCCGAGCCGCCTGCAGCCTCCTGAGCAGACGCTCTGAGAGAAACGAACATCCTGACCCCTCCTTCCGCAGCTGGAGGCCCAAGGCGGCTCTGATGCCGAGTGGCCAGTTGGATGGGATGACAGGAGTGGAGACAGCATGGTGCAGGGAGGAGGGTCCAGGCCTGCGAGTCTGCGGACAGCAGGTTGAGCGCCAGCCCTGCCCTTTGGAGCCACTAGGCCTGAGACATGCCTCTTCGCCTCTCGGCCTCAGTAGTCTTCTCTGGATGGCGAGTGAGGTGCCAGAGGGGCAAAAGCACCAGCTCCCACCCCTGGCAGCCGGGGGCCAGGAGAGTGGTATTTAGCGGAGTCCAGGCGCACTGGAAAGAGCACCATGATGAACCCGTGGGGCAGCCGTCCATACACAGCATGGGGCATTATGGCCGCCGGGCTCCACAGTCCCTGACATGCAGGAGTCCTGCGCCCAGGCCTCCGTTCGAGAACAGTGAGTCCTTTAACCTCTCTGCTCAAGCTCCCAGAGCCAAATGGACCGTTTACAACAGCTGCTAACCAAAAGGCTGGCAGTTCAAATCCACCAGTGGCTCTGGGGGAGAAAGACCTGGTGATCTGCTCCCGTAGAGATTACAGCCTGGGACATCCTATGGGACGGTTTGACCTGACAGCACAACAACAGCAGCGAAATCTTCACAGAGACCTTAAAAAATGTTTAATGTTCATCCAATAGAAAGTTTTTTGTTTTGCTTTTTTTTTAAATCCACCAAGTTCTTTTCCACTGGAAAAGAAGCTTGGAAACAGACAGCTCACAGTGTTAAGGCTGGAGTGAGAAGGAGTGGATGGCCCCTCATACGTTTTGCCCCTGGTGGAATCTAGAAGGAATGAGCCGAGCTCCTATGCTGGCTGTGCTGACCCAGGCAGCAAAGCGCCCTCCTCCTTGCAGTGATCCAGTACTTAGAAGAGGCAAGATAATGTTTGAGGGACACCCGTGAGTATCAGTAGATGTTATCTGCCTTAATGGGCAGTCAGTGGTGGTTGAGTGGTAGACTTCTTGCCTCCCATGCAGGAAACCCGCTTCCCAGCTGGTGTACCTCCAGTGCAGCCACCACCCATCTGTCAGTGGAGGCTTGCCTGTTGCTATGATGGTAAACTGGTCTCAGCAGAGCTTCCAGACTCAGATGAACTAGGAAGAAAGGCCTGGTGACCTACTTCCACAACTCAGTCATTGAAAACCCTACAGATGCCAACAGTCTGATCTGCAACCAATCATGACGATGGTGCAGGGCCGGACAGAGTTCCGTTCTGTTGTGTGGGGTCACCATGAAGCAGGATGACTCATTGGCAGCTAACAGCAATTTTCCTTATAATCTTATCCTAAAGAAACTGCTAATAACACCCTCTAACAAGCAATGCAGCTGAATGTTCCGTCTATGAGACTCCTACTGGTGGATATTTGCCGACTCGGCATTTGATGCACTGTAAGTAAAGCATCCAAATGGAGGAAAGATTTGTCCAAACCATATTTTTTCTAGTTATATAAAAGTCATCCATTTCGTAGAGCAGCATTTTTATAGGATTAAGCTGGAGGGGAAGGAAACATAACCCTAATCTACTGAGATGTTCATTTCCCTTGTTTTCATAAGTGAATTAATATATTGAATCTGAAATTTTCCCATATTAACAGTATGAGTTGCCATCGAGTCAGTTCCAGCTCGTGCCGACCCCATGTGTGTCAGTAGAACTGTGCTTCCTAGGAGGTTTTGGAAGCAGATCACCAGGCCTTTCTTTGAGGCGTCTCTGGGTGGACCTGAGCCTCCAGCCTTTGGTTCAGCAGCCGAGCGTGTTGACCGTTGTGCCACCAGGGGCTCCAGTGCAAGTCGGTTTTTCCAAAGTGAAGATTTTTAAATTCAATTTAATTTCAGTTCTCTTTTTTTTAAAATGCTTTTTATTTTGAAATAATTTATAGCAAAGTTACGGAAATGACACCGTTCGCCAGATTCCCAGATGGGAACCCTTATCCACATTTGCTTCGTTCTCATCCTCACTGTCATTCAGCGGAGGTCCTAGGGGTCCCGCAGGGCCCCCTTTGTTTGGGGACAGTCTGCTCTTCGCAACCTCGGAGGCTGTGGTGTGTGCGGGCTGGTTGTTTTGTACACTGCCCCTCAGTTTGACTCTCAGGTGTCCTCGTGACCAGATTCAGGACTTGCCTCTTTGGCGGGAAGACCCTGGGTCTTCTCTGAGAAGGTTAGAGGTCTGCGATGTGCAGGGAGGGAAGCAGAACAGCTGGGACAGGGCTCCTTTGCTCCAGGTCCCACTCAGTAGCTGGTTACTGTGTGAAAGGGCACCTGTAAAAGACAAAACCAGGAGCACAGCCCAGAGCTGCCCGCTGAGGTGCATTTCCCAGGCTGTGCCTTCCTTTGCTCTGATCAAAGTCAAGGGCCGGGTCAGCCTCGTCACCTTACCCTCAGCCGGTCCTACTTTTGCCCAGATAGCTTTTTTTTTTTTTTTTTTTGGTGAAAATACGTACCCATTCATCAGTTTCTGCCTGTACAATTCAACACCA